CCCCCCGCTCTTACTTCAGGTATTTTACAAAGCAGCAGCCTCGGCCCAAACCTCCAAACACAACATGGAAGACGATTTGAAGAAAACCATGCAAGAAGACACGGCAGAAAAGCTGACATTGTTGGATCTGTTGAGAGTGAAGCGATTGTTCATCAACTCTGTGGCAATCTGGTTCGCTTGGTAAGAACTTGAGGCTCATGATATTATTACGACAATTATGTATCAATTTCCACTCCACCTTTATAAGATAAGATATTATGATAAGATAAGATGCGATAAGGTAAGACGATACCGTATTGTTCTAGTAGGAACTTTTTCTTGCCTGTACAGGGAGGTTAAAAAACACATGGAGATGTACATTGAATGTAAAATTATGTGAAGCAGCGTGGTGCCTTTTTCTCGCTAATTCTACCTCTGGAACCAGGCGACCCCACCTCTTTTAAACGCAAATGTCTCGATTTCTATACAAGATAAAAGGATATTTTTTTTCCTCGAAAGCAAAGCAAATAAAAAAACATATAAGACGATGCCAATGATTCTATATAAAAAAAAGTCCCAACATTGACGAGCGCCTGATTCCACTGATTTATGCAGTTGCGAGCGCCGTAAAACACTTACCAAAAATGTTTAATGCTTTTAAGTTATTCTATGAAATGTTTACCACCGTTTGTTGGGCAGTGGTTAGGTGTTCTGCTGTGACTTGGTGGACTAATGAATTCGATTCTCGGGTGGGGGGACATTTTTTTATAGAGTGTGTCAGTCTTTCTGCGGGGATGTTGTATATCTCTCAGCCCAGGTTGATCCTGACAGGCACGGTTGGGATATCGCCTCCTGAATACTCTGAATTGTTTCGATGGGTGAATTAAAACACCAGCATTAAAAACTAATTCATAAAAGAAATGTTTATGTCAAATACTAACAGATGTTCTCTCTCTCTCTCTCTCTCTCTCTCTCTCTCTCTCTCTCTCTCTCTCTCTCTCTCTCTCTCTCTCTCTCTGTCC